CACCTTTTTTGTACCACTCACGATACAGAAAGGGGTGGCTATCAATTCTGATATTGTCGTTATTCCATAAGGATTGGCATTGTATTTCTTCTTCATTTACAATTTCTCTTTTACACATGGATATAAAGTTCGACCATTCTAGAAGTATGTCTCTCCAAAAGGAGTTAGTTGAAGAGGGAATTATTTCATTTTGTATATGGTAGCTATCCGTCAGTAAAAATTGTGTCCTGATTTTAAATTGACTGGTGAAGAGAAGCGTCCATTTGAGGTCATGACCGCTGATTCTCTTTATCCATTTTAGTTTTTGTGATGATATAATTTTTCTAATATTTGGAGTTTTTATCCCCCCATGCTCTGGGTTTAACATCATTACATCTCTTTTAATCTTGTCAGGTTTGTTTCTCCATATGAAATTAAAACACTTTTTTTGAAGTCTTTCAATGACACATTTTGGGGATTTGGTAGAGCTGAGAATAAGTGGTTAAGCTTAGGTAGTAGAAGTGATTTAAGAACAGTATTTCTTCCGTACGGGGTTAAGGTACGAGCTGACCATGTGTTCATTTGCCTTTCAATCTGAGCTAGTTTTTCGTTGTAGTTTATTTCAACCATATTATCAAGATCAATATCGAAATGTATTCCCAAGAGCGTGAAGTCTGTTTGTGACCAGTCAAAATTCCATTCTTTACACATCTTATATCGGGATCTCTTTTTGGAGCCTATCCATATTAGTTTAGTTTTATCTACGTTGACTTTCAAACCTGAAAAACGGGCAAATAGTTCTAATGTACTCAAAACTGCATAGAGGCATTTCTCTGATCCGTCTAATGAAAGTGTTGTATCATCTGCAAACTGTGATAGAAGATATGTTATACTTCCAAGTTTAATCCCCTTTATATTTTTGTTGTTTCGTATCATGATACCCAGGATTTCTACACACAACAGAAAGATGTACGGCGCTAGCGGGTCCCCCTGGCGGCATCCCCGACCTATTTTAAAAGGAGTTGACGCAAATCCATTTACCAAGACTCTCGATTCAATATCATTATAGAATGTTTCTATCCAATGTGAGATACTGGGTCCAAAATTAAAAAACTTTAATACGTTACTGAGATAGTGTCTATCTACTGAATCGAAGGCTTTTTCGAAATCAATAAGAAGAAGTAGGCCAGGTATCTGGCAAGTTTCAGTGTATTCCATTAGGTCATAAATAAATCTGGTTACCTCGCCAATATATCTTCCCTTGACAAAACCCTTTTGTCTTCATTAATAATACTAGGTAGTACCTTTTTAATTCTGTTTGCAATTGCTGCAGCTCCAGCTTTGTATGAGGTATTTAGTAGGGAGATAGGGCGCCAATTTTTCAGAAATTTCTTTGGTTTATTAGCTTTAGGTATACATGTTAACAATCCCTGTTTTTGCGAGATCGATAACTTTCCATTTTTATAACCACAGTTTAGTGAATTAAGAAGGAATTCTCCTAAATCTTTCCAAAAGAATTTAAGAAATTCTGTAGTAAAACCATCAGGCCCTGGGCTTTTTTCATTTTTCATGTTTTTAAGAGCGTATGAAAGCTCGTTCATTTTTAATTCACCTTCCAGGTTACATTTATCATGGTCATTTATAACAGGTACGTTTTCGCTTTCAAATAGTTTGACCAGATTAACATCGGACTGGCCCTGTGCAGTGTATAATTTTTCATAAAAGAGTTTTGTTTCTTGAAGTAATTGTTTACTTTCTGTTATAGTTGTTCCATCATTCCTTTCCAAAACAGTTATAGACTTATTTAGGAAATTTCTTGATTCTAACTTTAAAAAGTATTTTGTTGGTTTTTCACCTTTTTCGACCCAAGTTGCTTTAGATCTTATAAGCATTCCGTTTATTTTATGGTTGAACAATTTCATCTAGCTCATGTTTTAAAACATTTATTTCATTTAGTAGAGTTTGCTTAGTGTCACCATCCTCATTAAGATCTAGTTTTTTTTCTAGTTCATCTAGCCTAGTTTCTAAGTTCTTTTCTTTTTCATTTTCAATTTTCTTTTTAGTGGAAGAGTAGTAAATTGTTTTACCCCTGATCCCAGAAACCCTTTCCCCTAGCTAAGGTAGAAAAGGTCATAGACAGAGAGATTAGTGAGTGGTCAGAATTTATACTTGGTAGAATATCGCTGTTGTTAACCGTAGATAGTAGTCCGTGTGAAATCAGGAAGAAATCTAGTCTCGCTTGTTTGAGGGGGGTGGGTTGCCGCCAGGTGAAGCGTCTAATATCGTAGTTATGTTCACGCCAGGGATCTTTCAGATCAAATTTATCAATCATTTCAAAAACTTTATCCCTTGCCTTGGGATTATTGATGTGTTTATAGTTGAAAGTGTCTAGTTGTTTGTTCATAACCAGATTCCAATCTCCACATATACATATTTCATCACTATCATACTTCATAATTATGTCCATGATATTCTGGAAGAAATCTGGATTATCCTCGTTAGGTCCGTATATGCTGGCTACGGTATAGGTTACTTCGTTACCTAAAATCTTAAGGGCAACGTAGTTTCCAAACTCATCTAAATTGCTCTCTAGTACTTTGAACTCGAAGTTGTTATTAAATAGTATAGTAGTTCCCCTAGCATTACTTCTGAAACAACTTATATAACACTCATTATATCCCCATTGTTCTTTTATCTTCTGAATTTGATCAGGTGTAAAGTGTACATCTTGCAAACAATATATATTTCCTTTTTTCTTTCTTAGGAAATTGAATACCTTTTTACGCTTTAACTTATTGTTTAAGCCCCTGCAGTTTTGAGATAATATCTTAAGAGTTTCCGCCATTTTTAACTATTTGTGTAATTCCAGCCAATCTGGGGTCAAAACTACTCTTAAGAGTGGGTACAGAAGCTATTTCAATACATTTTGCCTGCTTTATTGGTATGGAATACTCCCGGTATAGAAACAAAGTAACTGAAAGCGGTATCCCGCTTAAACATTTAAAAACACAAAATATACTAAAACAAAGCATATCGTGATGAGAGGTAAATCTACCCCACAAATAACCCTCATACATAAAGTAAGTACAAAAGATGACTTCAAAGTCTTACAGTATTGAATAGTGGCTACACGCATACGCTTGTACACGCATACGCTACACGCATACGCTTTGTACTTGTTGTGACTGCTATTTTGATACACTAAACAAACAATCTTTTCTTTTTCCTCTTTCAAACATGTGTGCGACGAAACATGTGCTTACACGAACACGAGAGCATGAAGTAAAACAGTGAAACTGAAAGACAGCTGTGGTCGTTTCTTGGTTTTCAGCCACAAAACATGCGTGAAACCGACTTATGGTTAAAAACACTGACACCTTGGTAAATGACACCCCAACGAAACAATACCGTGATAATGAAAAACAAATCTCATGCCAGTATACCAGTGAGTCTTTCAAATGGTTGCCCCTTTAAGGTTACAGCATGTTCAACTTGACCTGATCAAGTGAATACTAATGAATTGCATGACCGTGTCACAGCTGGCTGGGTCTATTATCTTGAAGGGGTCCACCTTTGTCAGTTGATTGTCAACATGTCTGAACAGCCGAGACACGGTCGCCGTTTCACATCTCAGTGTCGAGAAATCGTCAGCAATATCCTAACTTTCTTTAAAAATGAAGCTACAAACATATTACAGTTGAACATGAAATAGAAAAAGTGATAATTGAACTGGGTGTAGAGAGTGATAGCGCGAGTGGAACAGATTGTGAAAGTAACTGACGTCTGTAAGGTGCAAAGTTAGTTAAACCAAACTAGATAAGCATATGACTATAAACAATTTAATTAAAACATGAAATGATTGTGTTTTTTCAGAAGTGTTGTTGGTCATGCATATGTAGAGTAGCTCAGGCCAAGCTGAACGAGCTGTAGATATCGACATTTCCCATTCAGCCTCCCGTCCGTGGTCAGCGTTTCATGTTACCCCAGCCAGTGGTTGCGCCGTTAAGGGAAACCAAATGAATATTGGTCGTTTACAAGCAGCCGTCTTAAGTCACATGATCTTCAGAAACAGAATAGTATAAAGAGAGCTCCGTGACAATACTTTCATTACTTAACATAGGAACTCTAACCTTTAAAAAGAGATCAACAATGAGTGAGTCAGTTGATTTTTAAGCATACATCAGTAATATCTCTTTCATATCGTGACGGGGACAATTTACACATTGTTAACCTCTCTTAAGTGTTATAGAAGCAAGGAGTTTGTAACTTAAGGCATCTATACTTGTTAAACTATTTAGCCTTGTAGCATTATAGGTATTGTTATGTCGTTATATTCCCGGGTCTGTGTGACAGACATGTGAGGTCGAGTCGGTCATCGGTACTGCTTCATGAATAAGCGCAATTTTTTAATGCATCTAATGCATCTGCCTATGACTAGAGTAAAGTATGGGCGTATTGAATAGCTTATCGTGATCACATGTAACTTGATGATAGGCAGTTGCGTTATTTACAGTCCCACTGTACGATACACAGCTTACACGGGGACCAGCTGTAAATGACGATATACATTGTGTTATTTGTCTATCGTGAAAATTAAGCACAGGGATTTACTTCTAATCAAACGCTGTCTTCGAAACCATTACACTGACGTTGACATATATTCATTAACCTGTATCCATCTCAAAGGTTACATACATGATGGCCGCGTGCATATGCGATTTGGAATTGCTCTTCAGCAACCCATGACTGTCGTAACAAGTGACTAACATTATCGGGTGGTCAGGCTCGTTGACACGGCTGATGCCATTAGTTGGTATTCATTCGTGAAAAGCAATGCGCTTGTGGGAAATCACTGGATTGCATGTATCAGAAGCGATTATTTACAGATCGCTGCCATGTACATAGAGATGGAATGTTGCCGATTGCAGCTTCAACTTATCTCAACTTTTGCCTCTTATAATTTAGGTTATCTTGTTTCGGTATCATCACGGCGTTGTTAATGGAAAGTGCATAGAACCTACCTCTGGTATTTGTGTCGGAGGGGCACATGGCGACAACGTGATGAGGCGATGGATTTCGCCAGTCAAAGAAATGACTGACACAATATACCACAGGCTTCAGATATACATGAGAGCATTCGTAAGGAGGACGTTGATTGGCTAAGAGTCAACCAATGTCGTAAGTTTGTGCATCGCGTCAACGTAGGATTGTTCAAACTGAATCAAAAAGGTCATTGAAGCAAACATACAACAAGAAGTCAAGACACAGAATGCATGCGTTGTCTCTACACTACATGATCGACAAGCCCATGAACACCAGGGTTAGAACCGGTCTTCAGCAACCCATGCTTGTCGTACGAGGCGACTATCAGGATCGGGTGGTCAGGCTCGCTGACTAGGTTGACACATGTCATCGTATCCAAAGATCAATACTCATGCCGTTTATCACATTGTCTGATACAGATTCGATTATTTACCACCTTGTCTGATCCAGATTCGATTATTTGCAGATCACATAGAGCTGGAATACTGCTGAGTGCGGTTTTAACAAGAAAAACATAATCATCCAAACTCCGTTCAACTCCTGCGAATGATAAAATAATCAGGAACTATCTCCGCCCAAAGTATATGTGTTATGATGGACCTCTGCTACCATTATGGTCGTAAGGGGAGAAAAACCGGATTGGTTACTTTTTTGGTGATTTTCATCACAGAATTCTGCTCATGATGTCGGTGACCAGTTCCTTTGTTTCAGAATCTGTGACAGAGTTACTGTATATTGGTTACTGAACGAGACTCAGTGTGTCAACAATTAAGAATCATGTCATATTTTTCCACTATAGCTATAGTTTATATATACACAAAGAACTTAGTTAGGCACAGCCTGAAATAAACTGACATACAAAAGAATGTACACACCTGGTGTTTTGGGGTTACTTTCCAAAAAGCGGCGTAAATGTTTTGGAAATAGTTTTTGCAGTGATATATGTCATTTTCCTAATATGTTGCTAAAACACCACATATATCGTTCCCAAGTGCGAAGTTGCCAGTCAAAATCACAACGCTTTTCAAATATTCCCCAAACACCAGGTGTGAAGTTTCTTTTGTACGTCAGTTCATGTCGCCAGGGGCATAGCTACCATTATAAACAAAAATCCGGGCTTACACATGATTGTTTCTAAAATGGTTGGGCAAGCCCTCAATCCTATGTAACTATAAAGCTTTGCAGCCTATCGACAAAATTGGCTTGCTACGCGCATGGTCACGATTGAATGAGCCCCTATCGTAACCCTTCGGAGCATATATGGGGACATGATTTGAACAAATGGATCCTCCTGTACAGAACCTGGAACAATTGGAAGCTGCTTTACACGAGGGATGGCGTAGACTGTCCCTTCAGAGGATCAGGAGGCTGACAGGGGGTATGAGGAGAAGGGTGCTGTCTGCCATACAGTCACATGGTGGTTGCACTCGTTATTGACCTTGAATCGTGTAAGACACGAAAAATGACATTTTGAATGTTCACATTCACCACTAAAGTCAACATTAAACATTCCACGGCCATACTTGTACAGACATGGTTTTCTATGTTTGCTTTTTTAAATGAGCAATTATCATCATAAAATCAACATGGATTTGTCATTTGTCGTTTTTGTATGAGTCAAAACCCATGTTTTTCCATCGTTGTCAGCACGAGAAGTTATATGTACGTGTTGAAAACCTACATACATGGGTGCTATGTTAAGTTCTTTGTGTATATTTTCTGAGGGTAGTTCAATGATAAGACAATGTTACAGAAATTATTTGTTTGTTGTTCAACGCTGCACTCACCAATATTCCAGCTGTATGGCGGCGGTCTGTAAATAATTGAGTCTGGACCAGACAATCTAGTGATCCACATCATGAGCATCGCCACGATGACATGTGTCGTCCAAGTCAGCGAATCTGACCATCCGATCCCAGTAGTCACCTCTTGCCACAAGACATGGACGTAGTTTGACTTCATCATAAAGACGTTTGTTCTTCATAGGATATAGGTAGCATGTAAGAGGTAGACCCAATGCTGTGAAAAGCCGAAACAGACAGCACTCTATGGAATACTAAAAGGGACATTGTTGAATGTCGGAATTGTGGAGCAACTATGTCGCAACTTGGTTATTTTTGTGTGTGTCCAATTATCAATCGAAATTTGAAACCGCAATGAAAACTTTCCATGTAAACTTTAGTAATTGGATATTGAGATCATGAGAAAAAGATAGATCATCATGTTTAATGTCTGTTACATAGACGTTAGAAAGGAAAAGAGGGGCATTGGGTAAGCAACAATGCCTTCCTTGAGCAGCGAGAATCGCGGTGCATGGCTGACCCACACCTGTCTAATTGCCCTGGGCCGCCAGTCTAAGTAATCTTAGGCTCAGCATACAATGCTATACTTAGTCTAACAAACCCTTGTAGAAAGTCGCGTCAGCTAACTTTTGAACTGACCAATCATAAAATAGCTGACCAAATCGCGGAAGTTAACATCCGCACATACCGCTTGAACCTTTACCTCGAATATGCATGTTCTCGAACCATTCTGAATGCATATTTGAATGTGAACTTCCTGCAGTATTCATGGTATTGTTTACTGAGCGACGAATTTGACTGATTGTTCACTCTTGACTTGCCAGGAAGATATCGGAACCTACTGTGCTCACCTTGGTCTTGCTATTGAAGTTCACACAAGGTTCCCTGATAACATTCAACACTGTAATAAAGTTGAACACTCTGGTATAGCCCTTTTTGCGTCAGAATATATAAGGCAATATCATGTCCAAATGTTTGTTGCAATAGAAGGTTTAAAATCTCGATTTTTAACTTCCAACAGGTGTGTATATATCAGTAAAGTAACTGTTAATAACAATCACCATCTCGATATGCTCAAATTAAAACCAGTAACTTTTCAGTTTATAATAAGTTATTACTGCTAAAAGTATGCTATAGAATAAGAGAGGCAAATTGTTTGGATGGCAATATTTTAATCTCCTTACTCATAAATCTGACATTTACATTCACTATATCTTGTACAAATCTGCAAACATGGATTGCAAGACTGTATGTTTTGATAAAAATGCTTATTTTTGAAACTCTGCTGAATCTTCTTAGTCTTTGTTAGTATATTAAAGATAATTATATCATTTGCATTACTTTTCCAACTCCTCTAAACATAAATGAAATTAACACAAAATTATGCATGTTGTGTTATCATAAATTACAGATGGGTATTCCATGTAAATGAAAATCCTTGCTGCAGTTAATAATTTACACCAAACATTATTTCAGCACACCGTGTCTAACAATCAGATTCACCACACAAATCTGTGTAATATAAATCGGTACTGTTGCGTGACTGATAGGGATAGTCGCCAGTGTGTCGGGTGTTCATCGGGAATGCATCGGCAAGCATCATGAGCAATCGTTGGTGAAGCGTGAACGAGTCTTACCATTATTAAGAGGCAGAAACGGTCACGTGTCATCCCCGTAATGCCACGCTTCACATCCGATTAACTCTCGACACATCCCCAACATGGAACCGACAAGCTAATTGCCTAACAAAGCAGAGCTGTCAAAGCCACGCATCTGTGACGATCCACTTAATTACGTCAGGTTCACGTGTTACACGCTTTACATGAGACTGGCTGAAAAGGTATAAAAGCATCGGCGACCGAAGTCCAACTGAACATCACTCCAATTTCAACTGCTGTAACGGAAACATGGCAAGAACAAAGAGAACAGCCAATAGGAAGAGGGTGAGATCACCCACCCCACCACCAGAAGACATCCAGGATGCACACGGCAGCTTCAATCATAATCATAATCACATCTGGACCCTGTTGCGAAGTGTTGAGAAGAAATTGCCATCGATTAGAAAAACAAAGGCATACTCCACGACTCTCCTTGCTCTGGAGATCAGGTAGTAGTTCAGCTTCTGACAGACCTCTTCTTGAGTAGGGTTTCATTAGATATTGACGAAGGGCAAATGCATCATCTGCAAGTATGAAGAAAGGCATATCCAGATCATCATTTGGCAATGGTTCAGGTTCGGGTATGCATATGCTGCCATCTTATATACACTCCTTGAACTCTGAAGCATTGAAGATTTGTGCATCTGGCATATGACCCAGGCCTCCGACGTCCACCCATAGAAATCTGTAATTAGCATCAACAAGGGCCAATGAGACAACGGAGAAGAAACCCTTGTAGTTGTGGTAGAGGCTTCCACTACCAGGTAGCTTACGAATCGCGACGTGTTTTCCATCGAGGGCATAAACAGCATGAGGGAGATTCCATCTCTGCTCGAATTCTAGACTGACGGTCTTCCCATCCCCTTGAGTGACAGGACATGCAATTACTGTATACTTGTATAGGTCGACGATTGTTTGGCACACCTCTGGGAGAAAGATGGCTATGGTGTGTCTTGACACTATGAAGTGGTAGGAGAGGGAGGGGTACTTGTCTCCAGAGGTTAGGGGCCTTATGGTAACTGGTAACTTCAGACCTGGGTGCAGAGCTTTCCTGAAGTTGGTGTCTTTTTGGGTACGTCTGGGAGACAGGGAATTAAGCAGTTCATCAAACATATCGGGAGGCATTTGCAGATAGTTGAAGAAAGAAGACGTGTCTTCGAATCTGAGTTCAGATAAGAGATTGCCATAGTTTCCAAAGTGCAATCTTCTTTCCAACCTCAACCACGGACTTACCCAAAACCGTTTCTGTTTTCTACTTCTTTTTGGTGCCTGGTTCCTTTTGTATCGATAGATATCTATCTCCAATCCCATATGTTGTTGCAGCAAAAGAAGAAGTTGTGCAGCTGTGAGCATTTTGCTAGATAATAAGAATCCGCTGTCATCGTCAGCTTTTATAGCTCAGAATCGGGACAATTTTGTGGTTTGGAGGCCAATGTTATGTGTCTTACTCGGCAATTATACGTACTTTACTCGGCGTCGATCGGTTATCTTCGCTTGTAATCGGAAATTACAGCAATGAGTCTTCGATATCGTAAGCCATGCATCACTATGTCGGTGAGCATCATGAGGAATTGGGAGTGAATCGTAGATATATCGCCGCAGAAACGTGACATAAAC